TTTGTCCACAGAGACTACATATTGTGTCTTCCCATTTCCTTCCGGTCACATGATTTACTGCCATTAGCAAAGCCAACGAAAAGAAAGAAAAGCAACGATGGCCCAAGCATGTTGTAGATCATTTAAAAAAGCAGAGTGCACAGAACTCCAACGTTTTCCCCTCTTTTGAAAATCAAAATTTCGTGAATAGATAAGAGATGAGGGATCTCATTACAAATTATTCTTTCCCATGCAACTTTTAACACCATCAGATTCAATTTAATTTCCTTTTTTTCTCTTATAGATCACGCGTTGTTTCATTTCAGTTTCACAACGCTACAACTGTGTAGTATTACGTACATAACTATGATATACTCTCTATTGAAGATGAACGTTTCATGTGCCATGAATAATAATAATTATTCATTTTTTGGTCTCTATCTTAAGCTAATTTTAGGAGGATTTATTTGTCAGCCTCAAGACACAATCAGAATGAATCAAGAATTTGATGTGATTTGAATCTTTTGAAATAATTTACAAAATTCAACTAATCTTTGAAATTCTTTCAAAATAACATTTCTCCTGTAGCATTGAAACTCCGTTAAAAAAGATTTTTTTTTATTCCTTTATGTTTCTGCTTATTCTTTGGCGTAGATTTATATTCTACCTTAAGATTCATATAAAGGACAATATGTGAAATTCCTTTATCAATCAAATCCCTTTTAAATGTATATCTGGAGTAAGTAAAGATTGTTTAAAATATTAAATTTCCGGTTCCTAATGTCTGAAACGGGGTTACAATTCGTGTTTGTGGTATCTCTATCCATTTTTAGGTCAGAAGACCCGTTCTTCCAATATCTGCGTTTTATCTCTTCCAAAAAATTAGAATAAATGCTGATAATTTTCATAGCCTTGTGATATTTAAAGTGTCTTGAATAAGTGATATCAACAATTTTCAAGATAAACAGAAAAGTTATCATTAAAAAAAAAACAACATCGTTTTGTATCTTGTACAAATGTCTGGTAAGGAACCTTTCAAATTAGGAAATATTAAACATCATTGAGGAACGTGTCATCTAACCTTAGAGATATGCATGCTAACTGCATGCATGTCAAAAAAATGCATCTTAAAATGTTTTAAAAGAAAATAAAGTTCTGTACTTTTTCCATTACTGAACTGGTAGTTGTTTAATGCAGAGGTTCAAGTTCTTTTTTTTGTTTAATTTGTATGTCCAACGCTTTATGATTCTACATTATTGAATCTTTGCAAAGTAATTGTACGGAAAACATATTAATTGACGACTAAAATGGGAAAACATCTGAATGCAGGAATATTTTTGAATTTTACAAGTCATCCTAATGTTATTAAAAGTTTAAAGAAAATTAAAGGCAATAACGTTTTAATTCATCTGCACAAGAAAGGACATATTTGTTTCATTTAAATTGCTTTTTATTTGGGTTAAATAGCAAAAAACATGTAGACAAAGTATATGAAATAAAGAGATCACGAAAAGTAACTGTATTCAACATCAAAAGTCTATTGTAACAATGAAGATTGTAAGCAGAGCAAAAACAAACCTCTTTTACATCAGAGGTAGGATCAGGTGCCATGGAGGAGTAAGCATCCCGGTCACATACGCATGGACTGCTTGTATCGATTAGGCAAACAGAAATCTCCGTAAAAATTTCACAATGTAAACAAACGCCTAGCAATTTGTATCAAAAATTCCTTTCTGCATTCGACTTTATGGTAGACGATTCAATGTATTTCTGACAAGGTCATTATATCGCTGTAAACATTCAAACGTTGGCTTTAAATGAGACTGTTGATAATACTTTATCATCAACTTGTTTGTCAATATTTTCCTTGTTTACTGAGTTATTTCGTATGTGAAGCAGGCTTTGCGTATGAAATCAACTGTTAGAAATAAAATCATTTGTAGACCAGTCATAACAAGTTGACTTTACAAGGGTGTGAGCTATCTAAAATCTCGTTTACTGTATTGTCGAAATACAATGTTTAAGACAAAATATTTAAACTTAAAGGTGCATGGACACAGATTTGAAGTTCATATTTTCTGTATAATATTACAACTTATATATTTTAATAGCATTTCATACAGAAAATATAAATAAAATTTTATCTAAAAGTTATTAAAACTTCAAATATTTAGTCGGGTTTGATTTATACATCCTTGCACTTTCACAAATTTTAATTTTATTCTTAATACTTAGGAAAAATGGCAATCTTGTTGTGTATAAATGGAAAATACAGAAACCATAAGTATTAATAATAAAAGTAAAATTTGCGAGTGTGCAAAGATGTGTGAATCAAACCCAACCAAAATTTGATGATTCAATAAATTTAAGATGGTATCAAATTTTTACTATATTTTGTGTGAAATGCTATTTAAGTCGTGATATTATACTGTAAGCTTCCTCAGCACCCTGTCAAATGCAAATCAGCTTACAGTGTTTCCATCCCGTGTAAATTCAATTAATTATATTTCATCAGGACTACTCATGACATCCGTCCACATATAAAAGGGGGGGGGGCATCCTCAGCCCGTCGCATGTATTTAAACACCCTTGATAATCTACTTCACATCCTTGTAAATCATAACTAAGTTCCATTTCTCGTTTCAAATATTTCATTTAATAAAGACTTTAATGAAATATAACAAAACAGTCAGTAGATCTATATGAGACTAAGTCCTAGCTTAACATCTCTGGCCTAATAAAATACAGTGGACTGCGGTGTCCGTGCGGTGGAGAAATTATACGCTACTTAATTTGTATTAGTTTACATTATTTTCTCATACCTAAGTCGCTAGTGATGTTGGTGACGTAATATGATCTGGCCTGGGGGCCATAAAACTTAGGCGAGCTCACTTTTGATCTCAGTCTCACTTTTACCAAAGGAATATATAGTGAAAAAGTGAGACTGAGATCAAAAGTGAGCTCATCTAACTTTTATGGCCCCCAGACCAGATCGTTATGATCGATGTGATCGTTGTGATGAAACTGACGTTCGCTGCTCGTATATATAACCTATAATGGTCACGTGATCACAACAAACCAATGAATAATTGTCCTTTTTGGAGCTTCACGGAACTACATTACATACATATTGTGTAAAAGAAAGAAATAACATCGCTAAAAATGTCCTTTCTACATGTAAAGTAGGAGCTATAAATTCTATTCGATATGCATAATAAAATAAGTTCAACAAACAAGCTGTAATAAAACGAACACATACAATCCATGGCGTAGTAATACCGAACAATAATGCAAACACATAAGTATTACGTTACACATTCAAGTTCCAAAACATTTCGTCAAATAAAACATAATTAAATGACAATACTGCAATAAAATAACATTTAAGTATCAATTATAAATATTTGAGGACACGGACAGTGTTAGTTTGATCTTATCAATTGTAAAACGACCATGTTTATGTCACATGACTATTTTCTTCGTAAGAAAGATGGCAAGCTCCCAATTTACAACACATGTGATAATGCTGAAATAAGTAAGTAAATTACAGTCGTAATATGGTAGATAATGATGAAAAAACCGACATACAACATCTTAGTATCACTGTCCCTGACTGTCTGTTCAACAATATCTCACTAGATCTAGTAACACAAAACACAGCATTTGTTTACATAACAATTAATATCGAAGTGCAATGAGTATATGCATCATTTACTGAAGTAAACGATAAGATAATGAAATAACATGAACAATAAAACATTTCTTATAAATTTACAACTGAATGCTACTTTACATCACTAAGACAACACTCAACTATCAGCCTGTGATTAATATGCAATATTCAAAAGTCCAACCCCCATGCATATTACAATACAGAAAATATTAATTTATAATGTATATCTATGCACCTTTAAAGATTAAATTAAATTTATTAGATATATAACGTTTTATACAATTCAGTAATAAAATTTTATTTACAAGATTTCATCACAAGGTTTTCCTGTATGAAAAAAAGTAAATAAATACAAAAAATATATACGTATAATTTGTATACTACATGTAAGTAAAATAAGAATTAAGATGTAATAAAAAAAACCTCATTATCACCTGCACAATGTAAACAACAAATGAATAATTAGATTAAAAAATCAATTTGTCAAAACTCAGGCTGAATTCTTACAAATGTTTAACACAGTTTAATGATTATTTGACTTTAAACTGTTTGTTTAGAAACATATATTATCAACAATGAGATAACGGGTATTTGTGTTGCAAAAATTCTGTCATTTTGAAGCCCATTACGCCTTAACTACCGTTTAAGTGGAAATTTTAGCGAGACGCAAATTTAGCGATTTATCCTTAAAAAGTGGTATTTTATTTTAAGCGAGATGAAATTTTAGCGATTTAAGAATTCTCACTGAAGAAGGTATAAGGAATAAAACGCAATCAATTTTTATCAATATTCAATTTTAGCGATTTCAGTACCCTCGCTTCTGATGCCAAAATTGAATCCTCGCTAAAATTTCTGCTTATACGGTAGTTATCGTGTATTTTGCAGTTGTATTTTTAAGTGTGAAGTCGTGTCCACCTCTCGTAAAAGGTTATCACTGTCAAGTCCAGAAACAAGACATGCATGTGAAAATAAGTATTGAACACAATTTTGTAAATTGAAATATCATTGTTGCTACTTTTAACACAAAATTTTTAAAACTTATTACATGTAATTCTTTTTTATATTCTGTTAAATTATCTGACATCTAATCGGCCCATCAAGCTCATAGTGATACAACAGATAAGGTATTTGGAATGTCTTAACCTTTGTCGCTACATCATATAGCGTTGTAAATGCTCAAAAAGGTTCCGACTTTTGAAAAATAATTAAATAAAATTTAAACGAAAGGTTCTGGGAGCACTGAGCTCACTAAATGTTACCCCCTCCCATAGTGGTAAAGTTAATGTTTTTCTCAGGGAGACCCAAAATAAGTTTCAGATGTGCACAATGGCATTATGCAATGATGAAATTGTGAAAGTATCATTAAATTTTGTTTATAGGAGGATTTGCAGATAAGAGATTGGTACCCTTCACAACTATTATGGAAAGAATGGCAAGGACTTTTCTACTATATTCATATGGGAGGCCGGGGGTTTCATATAGTGAGCTCAGTGCTCACAGTACCTTTAGTTTCTGTTAGGACCATTATCAAAGAATTTATGTATCCTCCTAACTGCGATTTTTACTTAATGCACAAAAATTAATACCCACCAATTAATGAAACCACAGTGTGATCTGTTGGGATGGATCTAAATCACGTGGTCTATTAACGTTCTCTTGAGGCGGTTTTACAATTTTTAGATTGTTATTTTCCCTCTCGGGTGGATTTCCTTCTCCATTAGTTTGCAGTGGCTTAATAATTATACTCGATAAAAGAAAACCAACAATGTTAGAGATAAGCATAACGATGGAGAGTGACACTGCTACAATGTCCTTCTTCTGGTTTCCTTCGACAGCACACGTGTAATTTCCATAAAGAGATGCCACACAAAAGAATAGGAAATTAAAGATGGAGACAAAACAGAGTCCTGTAGCTACAACATTTATCCCTAAGCTCATCCCGTTTATCACTCTGTAAACAGTTACCTAGTCAAAAGAAAATGTGTATATTGTAACAGATATAGCCATTTGTAAGATTATAAGGAATTGGATTTTTATTTTGAAGAAAGATTTCTCACACAATTAAAAGATCGCATGAAAGAATGATGGCACAAAAGGTGACTGTGGCAGAACATTTTATATTTACTTACTCTGTTGATAAAGCTTGAAGATGGTATATTTCTATTATCAATATCCGTTTTAGAGACAAAATAACAAGATATACCACTGAGGAAGAGCTACAAATAAAATTTAAAAAAAAATATCTTAAACACAAACTTTTTTTCATGAACAAGACCAGGAGCTCAGTTTTTGTAGATAAAACTATATGATACATTTGCATGGCAAATTTTATCTTTTTATTATTGTTATAGTTTTATCGTTATTTCGTAATCTACATTATATTTCATATTATACTTTATTACAATGTATAGTAATTAAAATATTACCGCTGCTCCTGACCATATTAGAGCGCCTGTGTCGACTGAGAAACTGAATATGACACTGTCTTTATCGACAATCATTACAATTCCAAAGACGATGCTACTTGCTGAAATTCCTATCAAAACAATGGACATCCTAAAGAAATGTTCTGCAGCTTTTTGTTGTTTGCGTGCAAGTTCAACTGAAAAAAAAATCATTTCTTCAACAGAAACACTTCAAATCTCTGTTTTGTGATGACCTTAATAGGAGGGAAATGTTTATTTTATTTCCTATAATGAATTTTTGACTCCTGATTCTACCTCTGATTTAAAAAATCAATGTTGGCTCTGCTTAAAATTTGTGTTGATTAAGTGAACTTTTGAGAATGATCATCGTTCCTCATCTTCACATAAATACGTGTTTAGTTCTTACCAGACGACTGTTGAATCTCACTTTCGTTTTGTGCTGTGTTCACCATCTTTACGCTGATAGGATCGAAACTTATTTATCTAGCGTTACCAAAACCTTATTGAGTAATACTGCGCAGTGTAAATCATTTTGAATGAATGATTGACAGTGTAGTTTTGTTAACATTTAAATCATACAAATAGAAATGGAGAACGAAGGTTATTCATAAACTGGTGATAATGGTGCTTTGACAGTATGAATGGATTTAAATCCATAATGTAGCATATACTGAAGTTTTTGTTTCACAAATGTAATGCCAAATGATTGCATGAATTAGGTATCATTGAAAAAACGTAAGAGTTTTAAAAGTTTATGAAACGCTTCAAGACGGGAAAGAAGACTCATTTGTAAAAAAAATCCATAAATGTAATGTCTTACATTTTGTTTAGTATTATTTAGAATTGCAGATTAGGTACTTTTGCAAATATATCACATTTTGAATGACTAAATACATTGTTCATTGTTCCAGTTGTTCATATTTATGAAGAATATATCCAGGCGGACGGGTTTTCCTATTAGAAAACCACAAAGAAAGGTAGTAAGGTTTGGCTTTATTGTGCAATAAAAATTAAATGTTCTGTAAAAATGATAAAATTGGCTTTGATATGGATTGAGTAAATGAATATGATAAATCATTACATATAAATAAAATGAAGAGAAGGAGGACCATTCTGGGAATATGACGTCATTAACCTTGTTCATTTCCAAATTTCTACATTTCCTAATTTTCAGCACAAAAGCCCCAAAATGGCTAATTTGTGGTTATTTTCTTTTCGAAAAAAGGTCAACAGCCATCGCCCACTTCAAATTGAAAAAAAAAGTGTGTTAAATGCTTTAAAAAATCACCTATCTCAACCGTATCTTTTTTGTTATTCATTTTTGTTTGTCTCCAGCGTTCTATGATTCCACATTATTTAAACATTGCAAAGTAATTGTACGAAGAACATCATGAACATATTCCCAGTCAGCATTCATATATTGGCCCAACGTTGGTAGAGTAACGGTCTGTTGGGTCAAGGTTGGTGTTGGTATAACATGATTGGGCCAACATTGGGCCAATGTTAGACATTATGCTCTTAGTGGCAATATCAGCATATGTCAGTTATTCGTTGTTGGGCCAATGTTGGCCCAATGTATCTTAATCTCACATAAGTTGTCGTGATAACATACATTGGTTTTACATTGTTGGGCCAACATTGGCCCAATGTATGTAATTTTCACAGAAATTACTATCTTAAACATTGGTTCTGCATCGTTGGACTTACGTTGGCCCAATATTGAATACTGAACATAATGAACATATGCAGGTGTATAACGATTGGGCCAGCGTTGGCAAGACAGCGTTGGCACAATGTTTCAAACTTAGCATAAAATGGTTGGTCTCGTGTAGTTGGACCATTATTGGCCCAATGCAAATCTTTGTTAAAGATATACTGCAACAGCTGAGAGGATAATTTTACTAAAAGGTTGATCATTTATGATTATGTAACACTACACACGTGTGACTGGATCAGTATACATTAAATGTATTCTATAATAAGTTAATAACATTAATTTTGTTATCTGGCTTTATCTTTTCAGTGCCTTACCTATACATTTTTAGTTGGACCAACTTTGGCCCACTGTGTCAAATGTGTACTGCATAAATCATGTAAATAAGTGTTTATTGATTTATTGAATAAATGTTGTTGTACTAATGGTAAAAAATTACATTTCCTTAACAGACACTAGTTAATCAGGTACATATCTCTATATTTTTATGCCAAGGTATAAGGCTAACACAGCTGGTCCAACGTTGGCCCAACGTTTATATCAAGCTAGTGTTAAGTACTATACCCAACAATTTTCTCTTTCTCTCCCTGTATCATGCACACACATATATCATAATGTGCAATTTTTATATTAAATAAATCTTCATGGTTTTATTGGATATCATTAACGTATTATATATCATATTGGGGGAAAATACATATGCATGCATATCTTGGCTATATGCACGAATTTATATTGTTGCAAATTAAAAAAATACTATTTCCCCCTGTGAAAGCCAAAAAGTAATACTGCATACAAACGTATCAATTTAAGAATTTTAAAAGAAATTCTTGGATGTGGGTCGAGAACATTGTAGAAGACACATTAAGTGTAAATTTAAGCCAATGTTCTTTGAAAGATGTCACTCCCAGGAGGGCAATAAATTATAAGTTTTTGAGTTAAATAGAGGTCAGCCTTCCTCGCGCGCAAGATGTAGAGAACAAAGACAAAGGACTGAATATTGTTTGAGGATAGATGCAGTTAAAGCAAAATGTGAGTATTTCTGATTTTTTTTTTTGTGCATGAGTATTTTAAAAGGAAATTTTCTATCATTGATCATAACATAGTGGAACAGATTTTGATCTACAATGTAGCAAATTCGATCTGTACTTTTCTCATTATATGTGATTTTTGGTTTAAATTTTTGTATGTGGGATAAATCTAAACTCTTGTCCTTTAAAGTAAAATATATACACTGTATGTATAAAAATTAACTCATTAAAACGTGCAACGCTCCATTTTCGCACATGCATGGGGGAACGTGGGGAGGGGGCGATCATTGTTGATAGAGACACGTGCATGCATGTATGTATAATCTTTATAAGTGATATCATTATCATGTAAATCTATTTCCTTGTCTACAAACTTTGAATTGTGGTGCTATAAATACTACAGTTGTATAATATTAGTTCCCTTAAACCAGTATTCTGTACTTTCAATAAGGTCTCAGGCAAAAAAAGTCCTAAAAATTGTGCAGCGATCTCGGGTCTTTCCGATACTAACCGGAAATGTCCAAGTATTGTGTGATTCCCAAATACATTTATAATTTCTTATTTCTCTATGTGTCTGATACATTTTTAATTTTGTAAATAATCATATGACATTAAACCGACCCATTATAAACAGTACGAATAAAAATAGTTGAAATATTTATTGAAGAGCTATGATAATATTATTAAGCATTTAAAAAATCACATGGTACTTTTTATGTAAGAAAACGGGGAACGATTAGAGGTGACAATACGACACAAAGTGTACGGAGAATTATGAGTTCAATGATAGACATTGGTGTTGCAAAGAAAATGAACTGGCTAGGGAGGGATGATAATTAAGAGAGCATTTTCCTTTTTCTCATTGAAAGATGTGTAGCTGTGTGAGTATTTTTTTTTTTTTTATATTTTGGAAAACTTTATTTTATACTCCCAAGATATACTGATCTTGGTTTGTTTGTTTGTATGTGTGTGGATTGACAACTTACAAATTTAGTTAAACATGAAAAATATGTCTAATTGTCAAAGATCAGACATGTGTCAAGGGTAATCCATCAAAGTCACATTAATTTATTGAGCTAAGATTACAATTTTTTCATACTTTTGACATAATGTTGCACAAATATCTTGTCATCAAAATGATTGCAAGTAAAGTAAACCAAAAACACATTTGTATTTTAATTTGTACATTAGTTTATCTAAGTTTGTGTAATATAATGTTTTGAATATTTTAATCCAACATAAATTGTGTAAATACTGAAACAATATTTTTCTATCTTACTTCTAAGGGCAGATCACTCTAGTGACATAAAATTACCCTACAAAGTAGATCTCTGTAGTGTGCAGTTTTAAGTAATTAAAAACAATTTTGTTTTTCACATAACAAATAAAATCACAGTATCATATTTTGACAGTAACTGTGAGAAAGAATGGATGTTGCAAAGATGCAAAAGACAAAGATATCGAAGATGCTGAAAAGGACTGGTTACGATACTCTTACGATAGGGATGGGGGTAGGAAGGAAAGGAAACAAAAAATGGCAGCAGAAAAGGAGACCAACCGATGAATGGCCTTGAAATGACTTTGAATTTTTTGGTATCTGGTGAATTATGATTATTACCCTTTGACTTTAATTTAGTTTTTAATTTTAATTTTTGATTTAGTGTTTTTAATTCATTTAAATGATTTAATTAGTAAACCGTATCAAATTATCTTATTCTTGTTATTTCTCCCACTTATTGGAAATTAAAAATATTAGTCATTGGTTGAGAACACTGGGTCAACGTAAAACAAACTCTGGGCCAACGTAAAAAGACGTTGAGCAAATGTGAAAATAACATCGGGCCAACATCAGAGAAACAATGGGCCGATGTAAGCTAGAGGAACGCTGGGCCAATGTAAAAGAAACTCTAAGCCAACGTAAAAGACACATTGGGCCAATGTAAAAGACATACTGGGCCAACATAGGACCAATATTTGTAGTCTAGTACGTAGGCCCAACATATATCCAAGGTTGGGCCAACATCCATGCAATCGGCGTCTAATGTTGGGCCAACGTAAAGCCAATACGTTGGCCCAACATGAGCCCACTTTGCACTTAAACATTGAACCAACATTGGTATGCAACGTTGGGCCAACAAAATGAATATTGTTGGCATTACATTGGGCCAACATATTGATGCTGACTGGGTTAATTGATAACTAAAAATTGGTAACATCTGATTGCAGGAATGAATTTTGAATTCTACAAGTCATCCGAAAGTCATTCAAAGTTTTAACAAATAAGCCCTAGCTGTGAAATAACGTATAAATTCATCTTCAATGATTCTTTTTTTCAGGATTAACTGTCTTATTTTTCGATTTCATGACGTGACCAATGGATTGGCTTGCGTGATAATTTGCATAAAAAGGCGTTTATGCATAAAATTATCACGCAAGCCAATCAATTGATCATCGTCATGAAATTGAAAAATCTGACAGTTATTCCTTATTCAGCGCTAAGCGCTTTCTGTCAGCGTATTCTACGTCCGTTCTGGATCCAGTGCCACTATAAGCAAGTTAGATAACTCCATTTGTTAATCTAGAAATATGCAACTGGAAATCCCTGACTCTCTTTCTGCTATTTTAGTGTAATGCTGCGTTACGTGCATTTCTAATAATAGAAGGCAATTAATAAGGTTTTAGGATGTTCCACAGTTAGAAGATAAAAGCAGTTCTTATCATGCTCT